ACCATGATCAAGTGGGATCTGTTCTTGGTTTGCAAGGATGGTTCAATATTGGCTAATCAATCAGCATGATACATCACATCAATAAGAGAAAGGATAAGAACCATATGATCATTTCAATAGATGCTGATAAAGCATCTGACAAAGTACAACATCCATTCCTGATAAAAATCCCCAACAAAGTAGGGTTAGAGAGAACATACCTCAACATAATAAAGGCCATCTATGAAAAACCCACAGCTAACATCATCCTCAATGGCTAAACACTGAGAGATGTTCCCCTAAGGTCAGGAAGAAGACAAGGATGTCCACTCTCACCACTTTTATTCAACATGGTGCTGGAAGTCCTAACCACAGCAATCAGACAACAAAAAGAAATAATAGGCCTCCAAATCGGCAAGGAAGAAATCAAACTTTGACTATTTGTAGATGACATGAAACTATACGTGGAGAACCCACAAGACTCCACCAATAGATAGATAGGTAGGTAGAATGAAAAACTGCCAGAACTGATAAACGAATTCAGCAAAGTCAAAGGATACAAAATCAGTGTACAGAAATCTGTTACATTTCTATACACCAATGATGAAGCAGCAGAAAGAGAAATGAAAATGCAATTTCTATCAAAATACCAGCAGCATTTTTCACAGGGCTAGAACAAACAATCCTAAAATTTGTATGGAACCAGAAAAGACCCCAAATAGTCAAAGCAATCTTGAAAAAGAAAAGCAAAGCTGGAGGCATCATAATTCCAGACTTCAAGTTATATTACAAAGCTGTAGTCATCCAAACAGTATGCTACTGGCACAAAAATAGACAACGCAGATCAATGGAACACAATAGAAAATCCTGAAATAAACCCACAGCTATAAGGTCGATTAATCTTCAACAAAGCAGGAAAGAATATCTGGTGGGAAAAGACAGTCTCTTCAACAAATGATGTTGGGAAAACTGGGTTGCAACATGCAAGAGAATGAAACTGGACCACTTTCTTACGCCAAACACAAAAATAAGTTCGAAATAGATGAAAGACCTAAATGGGAGACATGAAACCATCAAAATCCTAGAAGAGAGCACAAGCAGTAACTTCTTTGATATGGCCATAGCAACATTTTTCTAGATATGTCTCCTGAGGCAGGGAAACAAAAGCAAAAATAAACTATTTGGACTACATCAAAATGAAAAGCTCTGCACAGCGAAGAAACAACAAAACTAAAAGGCACCTACAGAGTGGGAGGTGATATTTGCAAGTGACAACTCTGATAAAGGGTTAGTATCCAAACTATGTAAAGAATTTACAAAAACTCAACATCACAAACACAAATAACCCAATTGAAAAATGGGCAGAAGGTGTGGACATTTGTCAAAGAAGACATACAGATGGCCAAAAGGCACATGAAAAAATGTCCAACATTACTTATGAGGAGAATGCAAATCAAAACTACAATGAGATATCACCTTATACCTGTAAGAATGACTAAAATCAACAATGCAAGAAAGAACAGGTGTTGGCAAGGATGTGGAGAAAAAGGAATTCTCATGCATGGTTGGTTGGAATGCAAACTGGTATAGTCACTGTGGAAAACAGTATGGAGGTTCCTCAAAAAGTTAAAAATAGAACTACCTTATGACCCAGCAATCCCATTACTGGTATTTACCCAAAGAATACAAGAACACTAATTCAAAGTGATATATGCACCCCTCTGTTTATCGCAGCATTATCAACAGTAGCCAAAATATGGAAACAGCCCGTGTCCACTGATAATTACATATATATCATATATATATATGTATGTATGTATATATATATACACACACACACACACATATACATGTCATATATATACATATATATACATGTCACATATATATACATATATGTCACTTTTTATATATATACATATATATGTACATATGTATATATATATACATTATATATATATACATATATAAAAATAGAATGAAACCTTGCCATTTGCAATGACATGGATGCAGCTGGAGAGTATAATGCTAAGCAAAATAAGTCAGACAGAGACAAATACCATATGATTTCAATCATATGTGGAATTTAACAAAACAAGCAAAGGAGAAAAATAAGAGAGACAAATCAAGAAACAGACTCTTAATTATAGAGAACAAACTGATGGTTACCAGAGGGGAGGTGGGTGGGGGGGATGGGTGAAATAGGTAAAAGGAATTAAAGAGTGCACTTGTAGTGATGAGCACAAGGTGATGTATGGAAGTGTTGAATTACTATATTGTATACCTAAAACTAATACAACACTCTATGTTAAGCAATTGGAATTAAAATAAAAACTTAAATTTAAAAAGAAATTTAAATAGACTAATGAGTTGAGTATGTCCATGCCCTTTATCCAGAAATTCCACTCGTCAATTTATTTTAAGGAAAATAAATCAGAGATAGGGAGAGAGGTATAGTATCACTGCAGTGTTAGTCATGAGAAAAAATACTGAATAGGCCATTAATGTGTAACAAGAGGGGACTGTCTAAATTATGTACTCTCATATGATAAATTATAGCCACTAAAAACCACTATTGCAAAGAATTTTTGATGAAAGTAGTTTTGAAGTCCTAATGTTAAGTTTAAAAAGCACATAGTTGTATATAAAGAATTACCTAAGTGTGTGTGTGAGTTTAAAAATACACCACCTGAGTCATCTAGCTGGTTCTGTGGGTAGAGCATGCGACTCGATCTTGGGGTTATGTGTTTGAGCCCCACGCTGGGTGTGGAGATTACTTAAAAAAATAAATATTTAAAAAAGGAATATACTCACAGTGTTGATGATTATCTTTAGTGTAGTAATACAAGTATGCCTTATTCTCTTTATTTTTTAATCTCCAGTATTGCTCCCTTACCCACAGGGGATATGTTGCCAGACTCCCAGTGGGTGGCTGAAACACAAATAACACCAAACCCTGTATAAAGGGTCTTTATATAAACCCTATATATGTGGTATCATACATACCTGTGATAAAGTTTAATTTATAAATGAGGCACAGTAAGACGTTAACAATAATAATAAAATAAAACAATAATAATGTAATGTAATAAAAGTTATGTGACTAGACTCTTTCTCACTCAAAACATCTTACTGTGCTGTACTTACCTTGTTCTTGTGATGTGAGATGATAAAATACCCATGTGATGAGATAAACTAGGTGAATGACAGACGTTGTGATGTAGCATTAGTCTACTAATGACCTAATGGTATGTCACGGGAAGGATCATCTGCTCCTAGACCCATGGAACCATGGGTAACCAACTGCAAAAACGAAACCACAGATAAGGGGAACTACTGTATTTCCCAAATTTCAACAGGAAGCACCTATTTCTTTTATAAGGAAGTAAACCAGTACAAGTTACTTTTCCAAAAAGAAGCTGGCTTTGAAAGGAAGGATGGAATATGGGTAGTGCTAGAGGAGGACAGTCTTGGAGGGGATTGTTTTGTTTTAGACTGAGGAACACGGGCATGGTGTCATAACGATGAGTGGGCACGTCAATGGAGAAGTAGAGGCAAAATAAGAAAGATAAGGGACAGCACAGGCTTCCTGAGGAGATGACTGGGAAAGAGATCCAGCCCCAGTAAAGGGATTAACTTTCAACAGAGATGCGTACTTGGCTTTGATGAGATAGAAATAAGAGCAGTGTTGCCTTGTTCACTCTGCGTGCTCACTGCCTACAACAGTGCCTGGCACTGACTGAATGGAGCGTGTAAGTTTTATAGGTGAAGGAGGGGAAGGTTGAGGAATTTTCTCCAACAGGTGCAGTCGTGTATTATAGTGTATTATTTTTTCTGTGGGTCTGTATCCTTCTCTAAACTGTGAGCTCCCTGGGGTACCTGGGTGGCCCAGTTGATTAAACGACTGACCCTTGATTTCGGCTCAGGTCATGCATGATCTCACAGTTCATGAGTTTGAGCCCCGAATCTGCACTCAAACTGCAGAGCCTGCTTGGGATTCTCTCTTTCCCTCTCTCTCTGCCCTTCCCCTGCTCGCTTGCTCTCTTCCTCTCTCATAAAATATATCAATAAACTAAATAAACTGCCAGCTCCCTAAGGGCAGAAGAAGTCATGTCTTATTATCTCCATATCTACCACACCATTCCAGTGACTGACTGATGAAGGTAGATTGCTCAAGAAATGTTTGTTGAATGAATGAATGATGAATGAATACGGTATGATAGGAGACCTGAAGATTGTGGTAAGGGTTTCATATAGCTTATGTGGGTATTAGAGGGAACTAACCAGTGACAAGTAAAAGGGCCTAGGCAGCCTAAAGACAAAATTGAATAGAGAGCATACCTCTGTACTTAAAAGGATTCCAGAGAGAAGCTGGAGAAACTAATTATAAGTGATCTGTTCTTTTCCCTGTCCAATTATCCCCCTTTCTTTTAACCTGCCCTGCACAAGTCTCTGTGGGCACAGATGAAAGGATAGAGACCCACCCAGCCCAGCCATCATTGAGAAGAGTTGGTCCTCTAACTGCTAACATTTGGTTTCCCTTTGTTTAATTCAAACCTGTACAGTCTTTTAAGCCTCTTACTAAGTAATCCCTACCTTGCATAGTAAATTGGACCAAGTATGTAGAAAGTCTTTTAAACTATTAATGGCAATAAAAAAAAAAAAAAAGCAAGGAGCTATTATCTGGGGGATATTTTACTTATTTTTATATGCTGAAAGTGAGAAGATGCCCCAAATTTTTAAATGCTTCACGTCCTAGAATCGCTTCCCCCAGCCAGGTTTCAGGGTTCTGAAGCAGCCATTGGCCTAAATAGGAACATTTTACCAAAAGTAGAGGATTATATGTTTTCCCTAATATACATTTTTGCTTTAAGGTTATCAGAATGATGCTAAGAGGAGTGGTTTGGATGTGAGCTGAAGCTGACATGGAAAAACTGCTCTGTAGAGAAGGAAAGGGTTGGATCAGAGTGATGATTCACAGATACAATCATTTGTTATTCCTTTTTTTTTTCCCAAAACAGAATTGCATTGATGAAATTGAGGCCATAATCAGCGTTAAACTCCAGCTCATCGGAATCGTCGGCATTGGAATCGCAGGTCTCACGGTGAGAAAGTTCCAGAACTTACCTCTTTTGCGCTCTAAGAAGCCTTTGTATGTTGTTTGTCTTCCAGTGTGATACGGCAATACCTTAGGAGAGATTTCTCATAAAAGACAGACACTGTTGACAGGACATCTTCTAAGAACAAAGCTTATTAGATATATCAAGACTTAGTTCTCTAAAATATGATACAGGTTTTTGTTTTTTTTTTAACATTTATTTATTTTTGAGAGACAGAGAGAGACAGATCATGAGCAGGGGAGAGGCAGGGAGAGAGGGAGACACAGAATCCGAAGGAGGCTCCAGGCTCCGAGCTGTCAGCACAGAGCCTGATGTGGGGCTCGAACCGACACACTGCGAGTTCATGACCTGAGCTGAAGTCGGACGCTCGACCGACTGAGCCACCCAGGCACCCCGACACAGATGTTAACTTTAACCAAATTATGACCTTGAGTTTATCATTGTAATAACTTGCTGCTTTAAGGCCACCAAACTTACACTAGACAAGTGATTTTCAATTCTGGTCTCTTCTTACTCTTAGAAATTTATAAGAGCATACCACATTAATCCCTCTCACTTATGATTTGCAGATGTGGTGATTAATAGTGTAAACTCTGGCGTCACCCTGTCTGGATTCAGCTCCTAGCTCCACTACCTGTGAGCCCTGGGATCATGGGGTAGTTTCTTAATGTCTCTATTCTTCAATTCCCTCATCTGTGAAATGAGAATTTTAATGTACCAACCTAAAGTATTCTTCCAAATTAACCCCTATAAAGTGTCTGGAACATAACACTCATAGATGCTCCCTCTATACATAGTCTGAGGGTTCCCAAGCCCAGAATCCAGGCAAAGGGAGTAACACATGCAGAGTGTGAAGCCGAGTGCAACCAGCACCTGCAGGCAGCTCAGTGCCTCGAAAGTATGTGTGTGCAAGAATTGAGAGACCGAAGGATGTAAGAGGAGCAGCAAGAGATGACACTGAGGGGCGTGTGAGGGTCCACACAACTGTGGTCTCTGTGTGCCCTTTAGAAAGGCTGGGCTTCATCCTTAAGGTAGAAGGAAGCCACCGAGGGTTAGAAGGGCCTGTGGTTGCCAGGTGGAGACAAGTTGCAGGGAAATGAGGTTGGAATCAGTCCAGTAAAGAGGTGATTTCCACTGTCCAGGAGTTGAGTGATATTCGCTAATGCCAAGGCAGTACTTACCCTCTGGCTCTCTATGTAGATTAATTCATGGCATGAGCATAAGGGAATTACGAGGAAAATCAATGAATTGGCGGTTTTCCAGGACACACCGGCATCTGCCCTCTTTTCTGTATTTCGAGCGCAGAGGGGTGGGACGTGTGGGTGAAACACTATGCTGAGGACCCCCCAGTCCAGGGCTGTCTCTCAGGCCCTCCTCGCCTGCACTGGGGCTAGCCCGGTTGCTCCTCTGTGGCTTCCTGAGGACAATTTTTAGGCAGAAGACTTGAAAATGCACTGCATCACAGAGGTATCAGATAGATGCTCCTAACAACTCTACAGTCTCAGTGAGCGAGCATCCTACAGGCAGTCACCCCTGACTCGTGACAGTGGCAGGACAAGGCTGAAAAAGTTCTTTAGAGTACAGCCAGGATGAAGCAGGGGTTGTAGCCAACCTTCACAACCACACTCAAAGGGGAACGCCTTCTACTGGTCGTCTTGAATCAGCATCCCCGGAGTTTCTTCTTAAATTCCTTTCTTCTTAAGTGTAATCAGTTAACCAGATGTCCATTAGGTGTCTCCCCTGCCATGCGCTGGTACCATCAGCGAGAAGCTTGGAGCCCTGCTGCTGGCTCTTCTCCTACTTAAGCCTACCCCTTCCCTTCCAAAAGAACAGATGATACGTGTCTTTTTAAACTTAGCATTTATAGATTCTGGTCCGATGTAGGGTAGGATCAAGGAGGGAATGGTATGGATTTCTTGAAACAAACATTGACAGTCATTTATCAACATTGCACCCACAGATAACATTCCATAGGCTCTGCAAAACTGTAGGGGCAATGACTGAGAACAAGAAAGATCTTTTGGCATCTTTCTATTCAAACCATACCAGTGGCTGTTGGTTTGGCCAAGTGTTTGGCTTTTCCCAGAATTATCCAAGAGGTAGAAGTAATATCAGAATTCCAACACCTCAGTTTATGCTTTGGGGAAACTGTGGAGTTAAATAGTGAAGCATCATTTGTACCTTAAAATGGACCAAGAATGAAGAGACGCTTCACTTTGTCATATGTGGTCAAAGCTGCAAAAATTCGAAACTTTTCCAATGACAGAAAATTCTTTAGACCAAGGCGTAAACAACTAATAAATAGTTGATATGTTAATATGGAAGCCTTTAACCTGCAGCCATAAATAAGTATTATATATAAAACTGCCATTTATAGCCAGTAGTGGTTGTAATTATTTGTTAGACACCCAGGCAGTTTGCTGACCTTTTCATCAATTTTTATCATTCGAAAGTCATTAACAAGTGGTTCCTTCTTTTTCAGATCTTTGGCATGATATTCAGCATGGTCCTTTGCTGTGCAATCCGAAACTCACGAGATGTGATATGAAGCTACTTCGACATGAAAACTGCAATCGAGAGCTTTCATACAGCTGTCACAGGACCTGGCTCCTGGCTCATTTTTAATACTCAAAGGACATTAGGATCTTAAAATAATTTGCTGTCAATTGTACATTTGCACATGTATGTATGTTTGGCTCATTCCTCGTTTACCCCTTGAGTGAATGCTCTGTGTGTTGACTGACAGCATATTCATGTGTGATCTGTGTGTTTCTGGTATACGCATTATACAGAATGAAATCTGTTGGCTGAAAATTCCTGGTTCTTGTTATGTTAGAGGAACAATCTATTTAACTCTCAGAAAAAAGATCATAAAACTTTGATACACTTTAAAAAACTTGGCTATTCAGAAGAAGTGATAATGGGTCATTCTCTCAGATTCTAGCCATAGAAAGTTAGATACAGAGAATTCAGGGATTTCTAGTTAACAGAAGCAGTAAGTTATGGGAATTGCGAGATCGTGGCGGGGTGCTAAAATTGACTGCCTCTGAGTTGGGTGTCAGGGTTTCCTGGGATTTTTTTATATACATACTCTCCCCAGAACACAGTAAGCCACAGTTTTAGAACTAAACACATCTGTAAAACTAAATATAGCATGGAAAATCTTATTTGAATAACTCATACTTTCCTAGTATTTAAAAACAAAAAACTCCCTCTGGAAAGAGTGGTCACACAGACAATCATGTGCCCTATAAAAGTGAGTGTTTTTAGGACTTCAAAAAAAAAAAAACCTTTTAATAACTTTTTGAAGACATTTTTTTTCTTATGTAAGTACATTTAAACATTGCTTTATTACTTACTTTCCTTTTCTGACTCTGTTCTGAACTACAGCAACCCTCACACAAACAAAAGGGCTTTTATCTCAAATTTTTCCGTGTTTCTCCAAATGTAAAGATAGAAAGACTAAAGCCAGAGATCTGGCAGTTGCAATTAGTGGGAAAGAGAATTTTCATGGGCACTGTATCCTTGAAATACCTCATAACTTGAGTTTACATATTTTCCTAATTTTTTCTATTTTTCTTACTCACCTAGAGAATTCTTCATAGATTATGAACTATAGATTCCACCACTTAGGAAAACAAAACCCTTCCTAATTCAAATATTATAAGCATCCTTGGCCAAACCAAAATAGAAAAAGAAAAGCATCTACTAGTTGTGTGCACACAGCAGAGACAAGCTAAGGAAATTAAAATATTTAAACACACAGAACAGAAATATGTTTTTTCTGTGTTAAGTTGCCTATAAAAATAAAATTTTCGTATTCTTTATGATCTTGATGCTTTCATTTTGGTATGTAAACCCAAAGATAAGATCTAAACTGACATTATTTGTCCATTTTTAACAACTTGGTACCTTTAGTAGATCATGGAGGGTTTTTTTTAATTATTATTATTACATTTGAAAAGGCCACCCAAAAGCGAAAGTGCTGGGGACTTTGGAAGCCCCTGAGTAAGTTCACAGGCCTGTGAGAACACAATCTTTGGGTGCACACTAAAGCAAAGTGCTCAGTCCCAAGAAACTTTTACAAAACGATTTGCTGAAAAGACCTAATTGCTACAAATAGTCTCAATCACATAGAGAACCACTCTTCCACCATACTTGCTACTGGTACTAACTTGGGAGGAAGCTTTTCTAGAAAAAAAGACTGGAAGCAAACTAATTTAATCGTACGTGGCTACTTTACAGTGTTTATAGCTGATGCAAAGATGATTTTAAGAAAGTCACTTTAACTTTAAAGATTATTTTAAGAAAGTCACGTGTAAACGTGAAATAGATGTTTATACCCCAGTAGGTGACAAATACAACCTTTGAGGCAAAGAACAAACAGTCCATCTCTCTTGCTGGCTTTAGTTCATCCGTCTACCTGAAGACAGGCCCAAGTGCATACTCGGGTTTCTTGCAGTTCAGAATCATCTCTGATTCAACAAAACTGAGTTTCACTCCATATCTGAATTAACAACCTTAAAGAAGACGACAGTGGTTAAAAGAGGAAGAGTAGAGATCTGTTCCATAAATGATTAATGTACCCCTTTGGGGAGTAATTTTTCAGAAATATGTGCCATGAGTAAAACTAGAGAATTCCACCTCTGAGTGAGGGTAGATTTATATATATCCTGAATCTATATATATCTTGAATTCCTATATATCTTGAATCTATATATGTCTTGAATCTATATATCTTGAATATATAACTCTTGGATACATACATATGTAACTTGAATATATGTATACATGCATGTATGTATAGACATACATACATGCATGTATATATATGTGTGTGCATATATATATATATATATACACACACACACATATATAAATTTTTGGTTATGTCTGTTTACCTGAACTGACTTGAGATCAGACTCAAACATATTCTTAAGCATCTGGTGCCAAGTCACTGAATTAAAATTTCTTGATGAACTATTTTAAGTTATTTCAAATTAAATTTTCTACGTACTGGAATTGTTTGTTTGATTTTATCTTAAAATTCTATTCTATCTGTATACACCCCTTTACACAACCTTTCCAAATGTCCAACTACCAAACAATACGGTTAAAAAAGGCAGGAGTAGCAATCCTTCTATAGTTTATTGTGAGGAGCTGGACGTAAAAGCAACACCCTAAGGACATTCAAGCAAATAGCACTATTTCCTTTAACGTTGTTTCATCTCTTCCCCAGAGTCGCTCCTTTGTTGTCCATGGTTCAATCTGGGAAGCCAGACACTGCTCCTGGGGCCATCACAGTCCCCCCCGCGCAGTCATGGAGATAGTTCTTTGCCCGTGTGCCTTGCTAATAGGTTTGCTTGATGAGAATAAGGCTGGTGGGAAGACAGCAGTGAAGGAAATCTCTTCCCTTCTGAAGTAAGTATCAAAGGTTAAAAGGAAGAGGCACCCTTGGAAATTCAGGCAGTGCACCCCAACTTTCCTGGTTCACTGCTCCATTGACATCCCTTTGAGGGAGCATTTGTGGGCCCTCAAAGCTAGTCACTTAACTACACCATCTTAGTTTGGACTCATCAAAATCAAATTTGTATTAAGGTATGTTTTAAGGGGAACAAACGTTTTCTACTTTCTCTCAACATGATTTTATTTTTTCCTATAAAATGTACCTGTAAATTATTATATGTAGGTGTCCACTGAAAGGTAAAAAGGACTACACTACTACCAAATACTATTAATCATTCTGTTGGTAGCCTCATTGCTAACAAAAGTTAAATGCATTCCAGGAAACCACTATTCCAATGGCTATCTCCTGGGGACACAGAAAGCATGACATAGAGAAGCAGTATGTCATGACAGTATGTCATGTCAAAGCAAACTCTATGTTGATTTCATAAAGTTTTTAGCCAGAAACCCATCTGAAGCTTTGGTATTTGTTTTTTGGGGGTTTTTTCGTGTATAATTTAATGATGGTTTTACTTACATTAAACAGAAGAAATTTAAAGAAATAACCAACGAAATGCTTAGCAAACCTGGCAACTAATGAGTATCACCTGTATTGTTATATTTATTACATTGGTCAGGACTTTTTGTTAATTACAAATCAAATATGCATCACCGTGCACAACTGAATATAACTTCTGCATGATACCAAATACCTATCTGAACACATTCATTTGTTGAATTAATCAATAGTCTTTGATCTAGTTCCCCATTCTATTTTAATTCAAAGACTTGTTATCAGTAGCCAGAGCCAGAGTCCCTCTATATTCCCCTCGGCCTGCTCTGCCTTACAAGACGCAACCCACTCTAATATTAGAATTTTTTTCTTTACTTTATTTGGGGGCTACTATTTTATACGTTTGAAAATCTCTTTGCAACATACTGATATGCTAAGATGAACAAGAGAAGTCTCTGCCTTCAAGAAGCTTAGGGTGGAAAAAAGGCAGGCAAATAGAACCCCCGTGAGGTTAAGTGTTGTGATAATCGTTAACCACGCGTGGGCCTTCTTGACCTTGGAGAGGATGGTCGGTGAGAGAGGTTTCCTAAGTTCTGAGGTCTCTAAACTGAGTCCTGAAGAACTCCTAACACATTAGCCAAGTAAAAAGTAATAGGAGTCGAGAAGAAAAGGGGATCTTTGGTGGAACAATATACAAGAAGACCCTGAAACAGCGAGCATGGAAGCTTTCCAAGAGGGCATGTCAAGAAGACATGAAGAGATGAAGGGCCCCGTTAAACTGTACCAAGGTGTCTTATCTCTGTACAGAGATCATAGGAAATACTTTATTTTCACATATTGTGATCTTTATTTTTGCTTTTAATTTAAATTTGAGTTAACATAGAGTGCACTATTGGTTTCAGTGCAATTCAGTGATTCATCACTTACATACAGCACTCCATGCTAATCACAAGTGCCCTCCTTAGTACCCACCATCCATCTAGCCCATCCCCCACCCACCTCCCTCCATCAACCCATAGTTTGTTCTCTATCATTAAGAGTCTCTTGTGGTTTGTTCCCTTCTCTTCTCTTTTCCCCCCTTCCCATGCGTACATCTCTTTTGTTTCTTAAATTCTACATATGAGTGAAATCATTTGGTATTTGTCTTTCTCTGACCTATTTCGCTTAGCATTATAATTATACTCTTTAGATCGATCCATATCGTTGCAAATGGCAAGATTTCCTTCTTTTTACAGCAGAATAATATTCCATTGTATATGTACACATCACATCTTCTTTATCCAGTCATCTGTCAGTGGACACTTGGGCTGTTCCATAATTTGGCTATTGTAAATAATGCTAGTATAAGCATCAGGGTGCACATATCCCTTTGCATTAGTATTTTTGTATTCTTTGGGTAAATACCTAGTAATGTAATTGCTGGCTCATAGAGTAGTTCTATTTGTAGCTTTCTGAGGAAGCTCCATACTATTTTCCAGAGTGGCTGCGCCAGCTTGCATTGCCACCAACAATGCAAAAGAGATCCTCTTTCTCCGCATCCTTGCCAACACCTGTTGTTTCTTGTTAATTCTAGCCATTCTGAGAGATGTGAGGTGGTATCTCATAATGGTTTTGATTTGTATTTCCCTGATGAAGAGTAGCATTGAGCATCTTTTCATGTGTCTGTTAGCCATCTGGATGTGTTCTTTGGAAAAGTGTCTATTCGTCTCTTCTGCCTCTTTCTTCACTGGGTTGTTTTGGAGGTGTTAAGTGTGATAAGTTCTTCATAGATTTTGGATACTAACCCTTTATCAGATAGGTCATTGGCAAATATCTTCTCCCACTCCATAGGCTGCCTTTTAGTTTTGTTGATTGTTTCTTTCACTGTGCAGAAGCTTTTTATCTTGATGAGGTCCCAGTAGTTCATTTTTGCTTTTGTTTCCCTTATCTTCAGCAATGTGCCTAGTAAGAAGTTGCTCCAACCAAGGTCAAAGAGGTTCCTGCCTGTGTTCTCTGGATTTTGATGGTTTCCTGTCTTAAATTAAGGTGTTTCATCCGTTTTGAATTTAGTTTTGTGTATGGTGCAAGAATGTGGTCCAGTTTCATTTTTCTGCATGTTGCTGTCTGGTTTTCCCAACACCATTTGTTGAAGAGATTGTCTTTTTTCCATTGGATATTCTTTCCTGCTTTGTTGAAGATAAATTAACCGTATAGTTGTGGGTCAATTTCTGGGTTTTCTATTCTGTTCCATTGATGCATGTGTCTGTTTTTGTGCCAGGACCATACTGTCTTGATCACTAGCTCCGTAACGTAGCTTGAAGTCTGGACTCGTGATGCCTTCAGTTTTGTTTTTCTTTTTCAGGACTACTTTGGCTATTCAGGGTCTTTTGTGGTTCCATACAAATTTTAGGATTGTTTGTTCTAGCCCTGTGAAGAATGCTGGTGGTATGATGAGAGGGATTGCATTAAATGTGTAGATTGCTTTGGGTAGTATTGACATTTTAACAATATTTGTTCTTCCTATCCAGAAGCATGGAATGCCTTTCCGTTTGGGTCTTCTTCAATTTCTTTCATAAGTGTTCTATAGTTTTCAAAGTATAGATCTTTTACCACTTCAGTTAGGTTTATTCCTAGGTGTCTTACTGTTTTTGGTGCAATTGAAAATGGGATCGATTCCTTGATTTCTTTTTCTGTTGCTTCATTACTGGTATATAGTAATGCCACAGATTTCTGCACGTTGATTTTATATCCTGCTACTTTGTTGAATCATGTGTTCTAGCAATTTTTTGGTGGGGTCTTTCAGATTTTCTTTTTTTATTTTTTTTTAATGTTTATTCTTGAGAGAGAGACAGAGCATGAACAGGGGAGGAGCAGAGAGAGAGAGACAGACAGACAGACAGAATCCAAAGCAGGCTCCAGGCTCTGAGTTGTCAGCATAGAGCTGAACTTGGGGCCTGAGCCCACACACCGTGAGATCATGACCTGAGCCGAAGTCAGACACGCAACCAAGTGAGCCACCCAGGTGCCCCCAGATTTTCTACATAGAGTATCATGTCGTCTGCAAAAAGTGAAAGTTTGACTTCTTCTTTCCTTTCTTTTTGTTGTCTGATTGCTGAGGCTACGATTTCCAGTACATGTTAATAGTCGTGGTGAGAGTGGAAATCCTGTCTTCTCCTCACTGTAAGGGAAAGGCTCTCAATTTTTCCCCACTGAGGATGATATTAGCTGTGGGTCTTTCATATATGGCCTTTGTGATGTTAAGGTATGTTCCATCTATCCATACTTTATTGAGGGGTTTCATCAAGAATGGATTCTGTATTTTGTCAAATGCTTTCTCTGCATTTATTGACAGGATCATATGGTTCTTTTATCCTTTTTTTAAATTAAAGTGTGTATCAAGTTAATTGATTTGTGGATACTGAACCAGCCCTGCAGCCCAGGAATAAATCCCACTTGATCATGATGAATGATTCTTTCAGTGTACTGTTGAATTCGGTTTGCCAGTATCTTCTTGAGAATTTTTGAATCCACGTTCATCAGGGATATTGGCCTGTAATTCTCCTTTTTTAGTGGAGTCTTTGTCTGGTTTTGGAATCAAGGTAATGCTGGCTTCATAGAATGACTTTGGAAGTTTTCCTTCTATTTCTGTTTTTTGGAACAGTTTGAGAAAATAGATGTTAACTCTTTAAGTGTTTGGTAGAATTCCCCTGGGAAGCCATCTGGCCCAGGTCTCTTGTTTGTTGGGAGATTTTTGATTACTGATTCAATTTCTATACTGATTATGTGTCTGTTCAAATTTTCTGTTTCCTCCTGTTTCAGTTTTGGTAGTTTGTGAGTTATTAGGAATTTGTCCATCTCTTCCAGATTGTCCACTTTGTTGGCATATAATTTTTCATAGTATTCTCTTACAATTGTTTGTATTTCTGTTGTGTTGTGATTTCTCCTCTTTAATTTGTGATTTTATCTATTTGGGTCCTCTTTTCTTTTTGATAAGTCTGGCTAGAGGGTTATCAATTTTGTTAATTCTTTCAAAGAACCGGCTCTTAGTTTCATTGATGTGTTCTACTGGGTTTTTTCGTGTGTT